CCCTAGTACACGTGTCATCTCCCTAGTACACGTGTCATCTCCCCTAGTACACGTGTCATCCCCCCAGTACACGTGTCATCTCCCCAGTACACACGTCATCTCCCCTAGTGCACGCTGCTGAACTGCATATTGATTTGAAAGTGGTATTTTCCAGCGAGCACAGTGCTCCTAAAGCAAGTTAGTTTCTCTGAGCTCTTTTACACGCCTCTTGTGCAGGTATTGAACTATCTGTTTTACAGTGGCTCAAGCATGATTGTAGTCAGTTGGTGGATTGCCATAGCATGAGTCATTGTGAAGCAATCTACCTTTAAAAAAAAACAACCCCACACTGTCCACCACCAGCACACTTGTCTGTCCCCTTCCACAGAGGAAGGCTGAGGTAACTTCATCATGGGCTTCTCTGCCATGAAAAATCTTTAAGTGATGAGTAATGCACACAGCATCCACCAGGAGCTTAACTGAGATCATGAGAAAAAAGGAGGCCTGGACTCCAAAGCTCTCTTGACTGGCCTTCAAAGCAAAGTGCAGACCCAGGTCTTGGAGAAGGCTCGTCTGTTGTTCCTTCTACTTCTAAAATCTTTCAAAGGTGATGCACATGCAGACAACACAGTAGTTTGACTTGCTGTGGTTTGTCCTCTCACCTGTGGTTTGTTTGAGTAGTTCTAAGCCATTTAGTTGCGCCTGATCCACACTTTGTTTCCTGAGCATGATGTCTTCTTGTAGAACCTGCAAACACAGGAACCATTTGCACATGGAGGAGAGACTTCAATCAGTGTTACCATTCATTATTGCCAGAGAACTTTGATCTCTCACCCCTGAGAGCTAGGTCTCACAGAGCTGTGCATGAGCCAACACCGCAATACTCAAAAATAGCCACTGTTCTCATGGTTACAACTCTTCTTTCTACCTCATCCATGCTCACAGCCATAACTTACCACACCCTCCTTTCCGGAAGATGCTCAGGGCCCTGTGGAAACTGGCAATACGGAAGGACCGAGGCACCAATTCACGGTGGGTCCCACGGTAAAAATCACAAAACACAGAGGGAAAAATCCAGCTAACTGGATAAATTCAATTCCCATTTATGAGCAACTATAAAAGAACCCCGTATACACAAGCAAAGTGCTTTTCTGAGTATAGCCAATCACATAAATCATAATGGACACAGAGAATGCAGAAAAAGAAAGATAAAACAATGACAACAGAAATGAAAGCAAACGAACTTAAATAAATGAAAATACCCGAAGCTCGGCCTGCTGTTTCCGCAGTCCCTCGGGGCTGCACTCCCGGACCTGCAGTTGGCCCAGCTTGCCGTGCACTTCGTTCAGCCAGTTCATCAGCTCAACTTCATCCTCCCCGAAAATCTTAGCATTACATAAGGCCTGCTGGAGGAGCTCAGACCTGCTGTGACTTCTCTCTTGAATCTCAATGTACCACACTTGCGAGGAGTCTAGTTTACTCTGCACCATATCCTTATCCTCCCTGGAGCTCAAAACCTTTAAGGACTGGCCAGCGCTAACAGCCTGGTGTAAATGTTTACTGTGAATGATGATGTCATCTTCTAAGGCCTACATGAAGTTTCAAAAAAGGAAGAAAATAACAAGTATGGACAAATAAAAATGAAAACAGAACTTAAATGACATTTGAGATGATTTAGTTGGCAAGTATGTCAAAACAAAACAGTAACACATAACTCAAAAGTCACGTCACAAAACCATAAAACAAATGGAAAAGTACGTCTGGTGGGTGTGCGATTTGCATCTTACTTTGTGCTGGGCAATTTGCTCCTCCAGTTTGGATGCTTGGGTTCCTACGGGTTCACAGTTCGCCAGCCTCTTCTCCATGGTCGTCAGCCAGTCATTCAGCGGTTCTAAGGTTTCATGAAACAGCTGGGCTACCACCGAGATACCTTCCAACTGACGGTTCCTGTAAATGCACCAGGACCATGGTCCGTCAGCGAGGAGGGAGGTGTAAAACGGTCCACAAAAACCTTCCCTCGTCTTCTCCCACTCCAGCCTAAACGTTTTTGGTAGATATCCCCTAAGGGTAAAATTTCAATCTACCATTTAAAGGACATGTCATAATAGTTCTTAGATTAAATAAAGTGGAACAACAGGCCTTCACACGTCCCTGGGCCTCATGGAGGGTAAAGCCATCTTTTCTGACAATGATCCTAACACTCCTGGGGATCCTTACAGCCATGTTGTAGCTATGTTCTGTCAACAGCACCACAGCGACCACGAGGAGGATAGGCTGAGCGCAGAGGCCATGTGCAGCTGTGACAGGCATCATGTACTCGTTGCATACCAGCAGCTGAAGTTATGTAACCAGAGGGTCACATGACCCACGCACACCTTCCCTGAGTTAGTGGAGAATGCTACTTGATAAAAGCACAGAGCGTTTGCTGTATTAGCCAGAAGCAGTGGTTAATGCTTTAAGGATCACACCAAGTTCTCAACTTCATTTAAGGTCTGGAACAGTTTGAGAGAACTCTCTGCTCAACTGCAGAGGGTCCAGTCCACAGCTGCTTTCTGAGCTTTCAGCTTGTCCATAGTGCCCAGGGACCGTGCTATATAGAACAGAGCGTCCAGTCCACGCAACCCTGTCAGAACCTGTGTCACAATCGAAAACGGTGCTGTCTTCTTCACCTTAATTCCTAGGGAAATACAGGACTGGAAAAGTTAGCTATCTATGAAGACAAAAGTGGGGCCATCTTCATCCTGCTCCTAGATGGCTACATTACAAACCATATATACACAAAACTTTTGAAAGACCTTTCACAGAACCGTGTATGTTTCCTTTTAACTTCTGGATTATCTCTAGTTATGACTCCCTCTCTTCTATATCTATCTGGAATCAATGGAAATGATACGTTTATAATGACTTTTCTCAGTACTGGATTTTGAACTCAGGACCCTTGTGTTTGTTAGACCACTGCTTTACCACTTGAGTCATACCTCCAGCCCTGCTTTTTTGGTAGCTATTTTGAAGATGGAGGCTGAGGAACCTTTTTGTTTGGCTGACTTCAAACTTTGATCTTCTAGATCTTAGCCTGAGTAATTAGAACTATAGGTATGAGCTACCAATCAGTGTGCAGCTGTAATGGTGTTTAATTGATTAAAGCTGTGGTTATGTGACCAAATCTGTGAACAATAGATGCAAGTATAAATGGTAATTATTACTAATATCCCTCCACTTGATACTGCTTGAAGGACAAGAAGACTGGTTATAACAGTAAAGTGGAGAGGTGGGCATACACTTTTCTTTAAAAACAATTACTGTATTGTCAAAGCTCACAGAACTCATAAATGTTATAAACCACAATAGACAATTTGCCCCATGAAAGTTAGAATGTGTTTGTGACTTTAAGCATCACTATCCCACAATACTGTGAAATTTGGGGAATTATGTAATCACTTAATCACAATAAAGAATTAGAAAAACACAAAGCAAAACAATCACTGGCAGAATCTTCCCTTGCAGCCAGGGCAGGATGTCCAGGGAGTCGCACAGGGCCAGTCAGCTGGCTCAGATAAAGCAGGGGTTTAGCCCCCTTCGGGCACTTCACGCTGTGACCACAAAACTCAGGATCAGTCAGAAGGAACTTCTCCCTCCCCACTAGTTCCAGAGGAAGCGGGAATGCATGGAACAGGAAGTGGTGCTGTGACTCAGAGGTAGAGCACTAGCCTTGAGCTAAAGAGCTCAGGGACAGTGTCCGGGCCCTGAGTTCAAACCCTACAACAACAAAAAAAACCAGACATCTATGGAACAAACTTGCGCTGTTCACAGGTTCTTCTGCTTTCACAACTGATTCTCAAGGTGTCTACAGAAACCTTCACCAGCCTCCCCTCCCCGCCTACCCCACCCCTCCCCTCCCACAGCTCCACTGTGCTTCCCTGCCCATCCAGGTTCTTCCTCTTCTGCACCCTCACACACCCTCAACATTTGCTTGAAAACCTTCTCCACTGCTACACCCTGCTTGTCTGTACCCCAGCAGGCCGCAGGAGGGGCCGCCAGAGCCCAGCTCTGAGCCCTGGCTCACAGGGCGGAGGTGAGCATGCGGTGACTGCATGACTTGGCTGGTGACCGGTAGACACTGCATGGGATCCAGAGGGTGGACACCGCAGTCCTCACGCCCACACCCGGCAAGCACGCAGACGCGGTCCTGCTCGGGGCGAGCCCGGAGCTCGGCCTCACCTGGCCTCAGCCTTCTCCAGCAAGGCCTCCCATCTGCTGTCCAGCAGGCCCAGCTGCTTCTCCACCTTTGCCCTGTCCGCGGGCTCTGCAGCGGCAGCCATCTTTTCTCCCTCCTGCTTGATAACCTCCACGGTAGACTTGCGGTCATCCAACAATCTTTGGAGAAGCTTGAGGCAAGACATAAAGAATATATGTGAAACAAATACAAACTAAATGTGCTTGAGGCATTTTAGGGAGCTGGACTGGGGGTTTGAACGCAGGGTCTCAGGCTTTCCAGGCAGATGTGCTACCATGACCCCCGCCCTATTTTACATGCTTACACGTGACAGAAGTACACAGTTTATGTGGATGCATGCATAAAAGGACTTGAGGAGTGGAAACTTAAAGAGGAGTAATTTGGCTCATTCACTGAACCTGTGGCAGACACAAGGGCCCTGGGGTAGGGTTTGTTTTTGCTGTTTTTTTTTTTTTTTTTTTTAAGTAGAGGCTGCTGACCTCTGTAGTATTGAGTTGTAATATAAAATTTGGGATAAGGCCAATGAATCATGGGGAAAGTACAAACTCTCTTACTTGAATGAAATAAGAGTCTCCTAGCCATTTGATAATTATATTCTCTGTCAAAGAAAAAAGTTACTGCAAACCACTTTCTTCAAAACTCCTATAGTAGACAATGCAGTTAACACTCAGACCAGGCTAAGAGGTTAACAAGGCTAAAATAGGAGGTCACTGACCAACCATCTAAGGAACAACTTAAATCCTGTCAAAGGATGGAAACTAAAAGATGGTTTTCACCTATCATCAGACAGGTGAGGATTCTCCAAAGTAAATCAAACAAGACCATACACTTCACAGTGTAGCAGCAGACACTTACAAAATTCAACTTAATTCTAATTACACATTCCAAGATGGCTACAACAGTGTTTGACCTGGGGAGCCAGAGCTCAGTGTTAAGATGCTGTATCTCATCTCATCAAAACCAACAGCAAGGGACCAGCTGCTATGCACAGACATGAAGTGAGGAAGGCCTCCTTAACCTGGTCCTAACCCATCATCAAAGACTGAGATTTGGCAATGGCCCAGAAGTGAAATGCAAGAAGATGACTTGGGAATCAAGACAGGGCCAGGAGGAAAGAGGAGGACAGTCTAAAAGGAACACCAGCTGGGAAGGCGGCTCAGTGGCAGAGCGCTGGCCTTGCATGAATGAAGCCCTGGGTTCCATTCCTCAGTACCACATGCACAGAAAAAAAAAGCCAGAAGTAATGCTGTGGCTCAAGTGGTAGAGCGCTAGCCTTGAGCAAAAAGAAGCCCAGGCACAGTGCCCAGGCTGAGTTCAAGCCCCAGTCCTGGGGAGGGGGGGAAGGAAGGTCACAGGATCACACCTTCCCTTGACAAAGGTTAGAACTGAGTGGACTACTTTGGATACACTTGAATAGCAACGATTCTAAAGAGTACAAAGGCAAAATTGGGGCTGAGAGTGTGGCCTAAGTAGAAAGCCTGCTTAGCAATAAACTGAATCCCAACACCAAACACACACATATGCACACACACACATCAACAGATAGATTTTATTGGTTAATCACTGTTAATTAACTGGAGAGTACCTTTAAGTTGTAAATGGTGATCATTTCAAAAATCACATAAATGCAGTAAGCTTCCAGCTCCACTCCATTGATCTTTACTTCTAACTTTATCTGTAATGGCATGCTAGGGCTTTCCGAGATTTTTAGTACAAGGTAATATGAGCTAACCCAGGGCCTGCCCGAGCTGCTGTGCCAGCCCCAGGCAGTAAGTTTTACATTTAAGAAAAAAAAAAAGAGGAAGTGGCACTGTGGCTCAAGCGGTAAAGCGCTCACCTTGAGCTGAAGAGCTGAGGGACAGCGCCTAAGCCCAGAGTTCAAGCCCCACGACCGACAAAAAAAAAAAAAGAGGCCAAATGCAGAAGTGTTTAACTGGGAAACAGTAATTGTATGTATTTGAGATACCATGTGATGTTCTGGTGTTGAAAAGATTAAATCAAGCTAAGCAATCTGTCTAGCACCTCACCTCTTCTACTTACCTTCCTCCTATATACAGAATATTTTAAAGCTTTTTAGCAGTTTTGAAATATATATTATTATGAGCTTTGCTAACTGAAATAAGCCAGAGATAGAAAGAAAAATTAAATTTTAATTACATAGCTTTTATTTGCAAAACATTGAACTAGAAATCATGTACTTCCTTGTCTTTAAAGCCGGGGCCGGGCAGAAGAACCCCCTTCCTGCTCTCTGCACATCAGAGCAGCCACACCACCGCCCCACGGGGTCAGTAAATGCTGCACAACTAGCCACGGCCTTCGAGAGCCCGAAGCTACGTGTGTACCCCAAGTCCTCAGCCCTATGAAGTTGTCATTCCCCAGGTGGGGGACTTAGCAAGGCCACAAAATCTGGATGTATCGAGTCCAACGCTGGCCTTTTTTGCAGGCTAATCTATCAGAGGATGCCTTCCACCACCAGCCTACCATGTAAGAGGACAGCAGAATGTCTGCCGGAGGCCACCCTGTCCAGAAGCCTTGGCACTGACATCCTCCGCATACAGAGTCCACCCCTCCCAGAGCCCCTCCTGCCACACCCTCCGCGTCACAACCTACAGACTTACTCTATTGTCTTTCCCTTAGCCCTCCCTTCCCAATAAGCTTCAGGCTCATTGAGGGATTTGTGCAGTTTTTACCCCGTGCTATTTCCTCAACAACTCTGCAGAGCAGACCTTTGGCAAGTACTGGTTGCATGACTGACAAGAGCCAGGGGCCAGATACCTTATCAAGGTAAATCTGAAGGTACATTTTAAACTCTCCATAAATGAGCTTTAATGTGCAACACAAAGGTACCAGCTGGCTTACCTTCTGCTCCTGTATCTGGGCCTTCACCACTTTGAACTCTGCGGAGGGAGGCTTCTGATTGGCCACCAGCTCCTCGGTGTCTGCCATCCAGCTGAGCAGGGACTCCAGGGCGTCCTGGAACCGCCCGCAGTGCAGCAGGGCCGCCTGCAGCTGTGCCGCCCGCTGGGCCACCTGCAAGGGGCCAGTTGTCTCCACTCACCACTTGTTTCAGAAAATACTCGAACCCGCATCAGCCACCGCCCCCAGCCACCGCCCC